GTTTAGTTTAGTTTAGTTTAGTTTAGTTTAGTTTAGTTTAGTTTAGTTTAGTTTAGTTTAGTTTAGTTTAGTTTAGTTTACTATACTACTTTTTTGAAAATGCTGAAACCACCATGGTTTCCTGAATGATTTCTGGTGTCTGAGTTCACATGCCATCCTAAATCTCCAAAGTAATTGCAGGGTGACTAGTTTATGGTCCTGTGATCCCTTCTGATAAAGTAGAATCATTCTGATGGCAAAAGAGACCATCAGAGATTCTGGTTTCAGGACATGAGACTTAGGCATGGGACTGGTGCTCCCCTGGGTGGGAAGAGGTGATAAACCTCCAGGTGATTTCATCTTGTGGGTACCATGTTATCTAACATAGCAAAACCTCACTTTTCCTTTTTTTCTCATAATGGTCAATGTTTCCAGGTATAATTTTAATGAAACTAGCATGTACAGTATATATATGGCTAGGGGAGACCTAGGAATTCTCCTTCCATGCTTGTTTGTTTGCAAATACCTTTTACATCCTCTGCACATTTCCTCAAAACAAAGTCTTATGGTGTTTAGAAGCATGAATATCTAGGAATGCACCTTAATATATTGTTAAGCTTTACTAAAGTTCATCATTATGATTGTGCAAGAAGACAAGCAGAATTTGATGACGTCCAAATGATGGTACATCCATTCATACCAAAGAAACTGGCAGGGTAAGTGCTTGCCCTTTCATCTCTGTGCAATGCTACCCCTACCAGCACCCATGTTTTGTCTGTGTTCACAAAACTTACTTCATTTTAGCCTGTTGTGTTATGCCACCAATAATGGGCTGACGCACCTGAGTACATTCTGCAAACCCAGAAGACTGGGTTAAATGAGTAAACCATGGTTTAGTTTACCACAGGTTAACATCTGGTGATTGATAAATGCATGGCTGCTATCTCAGTCGAAATTAATACTGAAGCCTTATTCAGTACTTTAATTCAGGAACTTTAAATGCACACTGGACTACACATGGCAGTCTGGCTTGGAGACAGAAAATTTACTTTATGTATTAATTTAATTGAATTCAGTTTCTACTTCATTTTTATTACCCTGGTTCCACCTACTTTCTCACTTGGCCTGTTCCATTTTCTTTCTTTCTTACCACATGCAGTTTTTAAATGCATCATTAGAAAAAAGTATTTGACCACAAAATTGAATGTGGTGCTCAAGCCCCAAAGCTTGGTAATTCCTGCTACATAAAGATAGGTAGGTAGGTAGACAAACAGACAGGGCCCCTGCAGATATTTTGGTTTACAACACCTAAACCTACAACACCTGTAACTCTAACATAATCATGTAGTTTATGATTTATGGGAGGTTTCCAAAACATCTGCAGGCTCTGTCCAATAGTGTTGGACTTCAGTCAGGATTTGCCGCAAGTCATACCTATGACCCTAAGGTCTTAGCCATAACCTAACAGCAATATATACAAGTATGTATCAATGGTTTAAAATATGGGTAGCCAAGTGAATATTTGTCTAGAGTTAAACCCTGGTTCTGAAAAGACTGAAACATGCTGCTTTAGAAAATGGGAAATCATTTTGCAAGAAGAGCCACTTCTTTAGCCATATGGACCATGAACTGCTGAGGCTTGTCTGCTTTTGATTTGGAAAATGCATTGTTAGATGTGGTTGATGAAAGAGAGAAGCAAGAAGTTTAAAGATGAGAAGGCAAGGCACAAAGAGGTATATGAATATGGTGGAAGCAAGGACGGATCACAAGGAAGAGGGGTATGAATGATGGTAGCATAAATTTGATTTAGTCAATTTTCCTTTACCTCCTCCTTTTTTCCCTCTTTTGACCATTGTCTTGTAATAGGTAAACAAAATACAGTAGGAAAAATACATTTTTAATGT